ATATATATATATATATATATATATATATATATATATATATATGTGTGTGTGTGTGTGTGTGTGTGTGTGTGTGTGTGTGTGTGTGTGTGTGTGTTTGTGGGTGCGTGTGTGTGTGCGTGTGTGTGTACGTGTACACACTCATATATATATATATATATATATATATATATATATATATATATGTATATATATATATATATATATACATATGTATATATATGTATGTGTGTGTGTGTGTGTGCGCGCGCGCGCGTGTGGGTGTGTGTGTGTGTATGTGTGTGTGTATGTGTGTGTGTGCGTGTATGTATGTGTATGTGTGTGTGTGTATGTGTTAGTGTTCTTACCTAATTGTTTCAATACGGGAGAAGAGCTAAGCTTTAAATTATTATATAACCTTTTAAATTGATGCATTTTTTATACACAGCGTTCTTTGGAAGACTTTTCCATGTTTCAATAGTTCTGTTTGAGAGACTGAATTTCTTGACATCTTTCCCGCCCCTTTACACTTTCAACTTTTTGCCGTGTCTTCTCGTCCTTCTTGTGTTCAAAATTATAAAGTCATCTTTGTCTAAGTTCACCCTTCCTGTAATATAGTTGAACCATCACGTCACCTTTTCTTCTTCTCCCAAAGTAGTAAGACCTATTCTATGTAGTCTTTCTTCGTACCACATGTCTTACAGTTTGTAAACTCAATGAGAAAGGGGCCGTCTATGCCAAACTCACATGTGTGGCAGACAAATGTTACCGGCTAGACATTTACATTGTACAGGGTGACTTCAGTGCAGTAGCAGGCTGTGATCAAACTGGCTATGAGATGTTGAATTTCTAAATCAATTTCCACCGAGTGCCCATGAGGAGTGTGTGTAAAACCTCGCTATCAATTCTCATGTATAAGTAGATTGGTAATACCTATGGAACTCGTTAGATCTTAGTTGCACACTCCTTTCAGCAGGTCATGTGGTATGGATGATATAGTATTGGTCCTGTTCTTATCCAGAGTGACCTAGGTTCGAATCCTGTTCAAGAAGGGTTGTTATAGATCTATATCAATGTGGTATTTCATTATTCCAGCTTTCATATGGAAGTATATAGTAAATATGAATATATATGTATATATATATATATATATATATATATATATATATATATATATATATATATATATATATATATATATGAGTATACATTATATATATACATATATAGGTATAGATCTATATCAATGTGGTATTTCATTATTCCAGCTTTCATATGGAAGTATATAGTAAATATATATATATATATATATATATATATATATATATATATATATATATATATATATATATATATGAGTATACAGTATATATATACATATATAGGTAGATTGATAAATATGTGTATGCATTTTTATGTATACATATATATATGTGTCTGTGTGTGTATATATATATATATATATAAATGTATACATATATGTATACATAAAGACACACACACGAGTATATATATATATATATATATATATATATATATATATATATATATATATATATATATATATGGCCACCATCAGTCAGTGTTGACTATGGCATTATTGCTTGGGCGAAAGATGTGAGGAGCAAGCTGTTGCCCTTGCAGCAGGCTCCCTCTCTCCATGTAGCTGATGCATCCAAAGGAGCAGCACCGGCAGAGTTGCAGAAGTTGCTAGAACGAATTTACAAATGACAACGAACTGCCTCAGGGACTCCGGCTACGGATTTTTCCTGATGGTTGACTCCCTAGCCTTTATCATCTTATAGATGCCACAAGGCAGTAGATTGTTTTGTATAGTTTGGACTTCCATAGCCTTTGATCATGCACGGACTGAACTACAAGACAGCAGTTGTTTTGCATAGGATGAACTACCATAACCTTTGACGATACACGGACTGAACTCCAAGGCAGCAGTCGGGCACCACTATCGAATCTAAGTAAAATTATCCCAATATTTGCAAATCCTTACATGTGTGTAAGCGCACACACGATTGTCACTTGTCACCTCCTTCTGGCCAAGGTCTATATAAGTATAGATCTTGGTTCTAGCCTCTGGGCTAGTACAGTGGTAACGTGTTGGCGTCTCATCCGAGGGGTTGCAATTGTCGCCTGGAGGTTATTGCTGAGGCTGGGTGCTACGGCGGGTAAGGACTAAGCTCAGCCGAGTCAGCACCGGCTGACACACGTTAGCGAGTCGGCATTAGTCGACAGAGGCCGGGCTCCACTCATGGGCATAGCCCGGGCGAGGATCAGCTTCGCATAACTTATCCTTATCTTGATTCTGGCAATTGCGATACCGCTGGTGCCAAACCATATCGGTCTATGCCGTTCCTATGGATCCATCAGGTGCGTGGAGAGATGGAGCCTGCTACATGGGCAACAGCTTGCTCCTCACATTCTTTTGCCCAGGCATTGACACTACCTGTACGGGTGTGGGAAAAGACAATAATGACATAGTCGATAGTGAGTGATAGTGGCCAACTCTCTCTCTCTATATATATACATACATACATATACATATGTATACAATATATAGATGTGTTTATGTATACATACATACATATACATATATATACATACATACACATAAACACACTATCTATCTATCTATCTATCTATCTATATATATATATATATATATATATATATATATATATATACACTGTATATGTGAATACATATATAAAAAGATATATATATGTACACACTCACACACACACACACATACATACACACAACTGAAACAGTGATTCCAGATACCAGCATGAAGACAGCTAAAAGAAACCATACGGAGAAAAGACATATAATTAGAATGAAATCATAATAGTGGAAGACTTTTACAGAAATCTACACAACTCAAATAAACAGCTACGGATAGAAGCGAACGTGGTAATTAGAGATGTATCTAATATTACAACAGAAAAAATAAGGAGTGTTGAAAGGCATGAAGAAAGGGAAAACACCAAGTGAAGACGGAATTAGTATAGACCTTATAATAGATGCGGAAGAAATTGCAACAGTGAAACTAGCCAATCTTTTTAACAAATGCCTTCTTAACCCATTGCCGCCGGGGAAAATGAATATAAAATGGGGAAAATGCTGTGCTCATTTTACATATTTTTTTGTGAAATGTCTCTACACATAGATGTCTCTGCTTTACCTGATTTCACCTTCCCTTGAATTGGCGGGAAAATATATTTTTTACCAGTACTATGAATATCGATGGTGTTATTTTTAATATAAACATTATAATTACTATAATGTTATAGACGTTAGTAATAGCAAAATAAGAGAGCAAAACTCGTAATCGGCTCATTGGTGTTTTAGTACAAGTGTAGCCATCTATGTGTAAAAACTATTAAACAAGGAAACTCACAGTGGACGTACGCGACATGCCCGTCGCGAAAACTTCGAAAGCCTGGAAAGATGCAATTACTGATACATAAAAAAGGGGATAGAAAGGATACAGTTACAAATTATTCACAAAAGTCATTATAACTCGCATCTCTAACCAACCAAGAGAACAGGAAGGCTTCGGCAATGGATTCTCAACAGACCACATCCACACGCTCACTCAAGAGAAAAAAAATTAACAAATATGGGAAACCCCTGCGTATGGCATTCATCGATTACGAGAAGGCATTTGACTCTGTATAAATACCAGCAGTACTAGAAGCTATTCGAAAACAGGGAGTAGAGGAAGTATATTGTACAATAATGGAAGATACATACGAAGATGGGACAACAACCACCCATCTCCACAACTAATAAAATACCAATTAAAAAAGGTGTTAGACAGGGTGATACCATCTCACCATAACTGTTTACAGCTTCCCCTAAGGAAATATTCAAGAAGCTAGAATGGAGCGGAGAGGGTATCAGAATAGGAGACGAATACTTAAACAATATAGGATTTGCAGATGATCTTGTTCTCTTCAGTGAATCTGCAAATGAAATGCAGCAACTAATGATCAATCTGAATAGAGAATGTCTGAAAGTCTGACTTAGGATGAACAAGAAAAAGACTAAGATCATGTTCAACAGTAAGAGTTCAATTCGAACATGTACAAGGCGAAGCGTATGTAGTGGACAAGTATATATACCTGAGGCAACTCGAAGAAACAAACACATCTAGCAAAGAGGAAATTAAGCAAGCATCAGTCTAGGCCGGAGCGCCTTCGGCAGACACAGAGTATAATAAGGAGCCCTTTGCCATTATGTTTAAAAAGAAAAGTCTTTAACCAATGCGTCCTCCCAGGTATGATCTACGCATTAGAAACATGGACTAGAACCAAATTACTGGAGAGGAAACCAATAAGTGCCCAGAGAGGGATGGAGAGGTTGATACTGAAAATTAAGCCATGAGATCGGATGAGGGCGACGTGGACCAAAGATCAGACAAAAGTGGAAGATATAATTGGGATCATCAAAAAGAAGAAAAAAAAGGCAATGGGCAGGTCATATATGGCGTGAAGAAATAACGAAATTTGAGGGCCAAGCTAATAATAATAGTAATAGTAATAATAATAATAATAATAATGATAATAATAAACCGCAAGATAAAATTGGAAAGGATTGGGAGAGGCCTACGTCCTGCAGTGAATGATGGTGATGGTGTGTGTGTGTGTGTGTGTGTGTGTGTGTGTGTGTGTGTGTGTGTGTGTGTGTGTGTGTGTGTGTGTGTGTGTGTGTGTGTGTGTGTGTGTGTGTGTGTGTGTGTGTGTGTGTGTGTGTGTGTGTTTAAGGTATATGTACACATACATGCATGTTTATATGTAAATCGTATTTGATAATAATAAATATTTTTTTGTTGGTGTTGCGTTTTCAGAGGGGAACGTATTCTTTATTTCCGTGTTACATAATAGATACGATTCAATAATCATTATATCAGATACAGTAATCATATAACATAATCTTTGATATGCCTATTTTTATTTTGATAAATTAGCAAAAAGTACTTACGGGGACTGCACAAACTGCACAAGAAATTGATTCCTATGACCTTCGCATCAGGGTGGTTGTTGTGGTCGTGTTCTGCTTCCGCTTCGCCTGGCGCCTCCTAAATTTTCCTCTGCAATGGCTCAGGTTTGCTTATGAATTTAGTGTAGGTCGTACTAGCAGTGTCATGAGTATGAAATTGATAAAAGTCTGATAACTCCGTGTAGCTTCAGATGGAAGAGGTTATGTTTTTTTTTATTCATAATAATGGATGTTTATAGCCCGTGACGTACATCTGTGGATAATTTTGATGTTTTGCCGACATAGAAAGTGATATTTTTTATGGCTTGTAGTTCTCTCTTTCAGTCTTTAATCTCAGTGATGATAGTATATTTGGTCAGCATTCAGTTGTAAATATAATCATTTGGGACAATATGTAGTGTAAGGTAGTGGCAGAGTTGGGTAATAGAACCTACATGAAATGATAGAACAGTACAAACCAAGACAAAGTTCTTCTATGGCAGTATGTGTGCAAATGCTTCCCAAGGGTGCTAGGTATATATATTACCCTGGGGGTCCAGGAGGCAGAGCCCCCTAGCTAGGGAATGTATACCACAGTGTTTGGTTAGGTTGTATTTTGGGTTAGGTCGTTTTGTTTAACAACTACGGGGGTGCTGTTTTATCCCATAATCTCCCTGATATACTTCATGCCCTCCTCTGCTATCGGGGCTATCAAATCAAGATTGTCGATGGAAATGGTGATCATATCTTTTCAATGATTCATTTGTACAAGGAACAATGCCAAGAATTATTGAAAGCAGTGGATTTCATGCAGAAAAATACCAAAATTGTTTCGAAAGTAATCCACTACCCTCTTCTACATATTGACCGGGGGATCTTCTCTTTTCTTTTAAGTATAACCTTCCTTGGGAAGCATTTGAGCACATATTGCCATAGAAGAACTTTGTCTTGGTTTATATTGTTCTATCATTTCATGTAGGTTTTATTACCCAACTCTGCCACTACCTTATACTACATATCGACCTATTATTTTGTGGAAGGTTAATCCTGATGTGGATAATTATGGTAAATATTCAAAATACCTTCACAAAACTGATCACATAATGGTATCAGTGAGTTCCTCTTACTCTAATCTTCCCTTATAAAGAAGCAATTTTTTTTTTCCCTCAACCTAATGATCTTGGGGGATGTGTGGGGAACTTTGTGGGAAAGTGATTTATGAAACATTAAAAAAAAAAAAAAAAAAAAAACAGCCAAATTTTGTGTCCTGAAAACAATATTAATGTGGATTTATCTAAAACATAAGCCAAACTTTGTCCAGTGAACACAAAATAAATTAACTCCCAAGTAAACAAGTGCAAACGATATGTGCAAAAAGCCTGTTTTCAGAAAAGGCGAGCCTAGTTTCAAATAATGCAATTATAATAAACTGTAGTTACATGTAAGTTAACATTGTGCATCATGTGAATCCAGAAATCCAACCTAACTTTACATACCTTCTATTTATTCCCTAGACAAGGGGAGACAAGGCCCCCAGTACCCCCCCTTTATTAGCACTTCTTGCCAAATGACATTGTGACACATTCCATCAATGTGGAGGGTACAGATGAACTGCACACTCACAAATTGTCTTGTTTGGAAATTGAAAGACACCCTGTGCAGATTCATAAGAAATTCTCTCTGCATCTGGCACACATCAAGCAAAAGGTCGGAATATGAAAAAATAATAATGAAATGAATAACTAATTGGAAATGATTACCAGGTTCGTCAATAGAAAACGTGATCAGTATAGAAAATGTATAAAATGGAGCTATAAAAAATGAGACATTAAGGACTCTGGTTGTGTGAGGGAGTTGTCTCTGAGCGGTCCTCCTCCTCATCCAGTCAACCTCCCAAGGCTTGTTGCATAATACCATCATATTGGTATAAACTGAGAGTTGCCAGTGAAGATGTGAAGGCAGAACCTGTGGTGCTAGGGTTCACACCATTAACACAATGTTGACGGGTATGACGTGTATGTACGTACTATGCCCACTGTGAGGTACTTGTTTGATTGTTTTTACATATAGATGGCTACACTTGTACTAAGTCACCAATGAGCTAGTTATGAATACTGCTTGTCTCGCCCGTTTACCCATTTCTTTGATTCACGAAATATTGTATGTTATCTTATTTTCCTGTTACTGATGTTACGAAAATATATAATAATTATAATATTTATAATAAAAATAACACCATCGATATTCATAGCACTAGTGAAAAATACATTTTTCCTGCCATTTAAAAAAATCAGGCACTAGCAGAGCCATCTATAGGCAGACACTTCACAAAAATATAGAAAACAGGCACAGCATTTCCCCCCCCCCCCCTTTTTTTTTTCCCTGGCGGCATTGGGTTAATGGGGAAATAGTAAATTGGCAAAACCCCATCCACAGATATCCTGTTGAGGCGGAGGAGCAGCCATGAAGGAATGTGCTACCGCAACAGCAGAGCCCGTCACATATTATAAACACATTTTACGCTAGAGTTGAAGTCAGCTGGGTTCATTTAATCCAATCGCCCCATTTGGCAAGAATACATGCCATGCCCACTCTAATACAAATTTATTTATTGTATTTGCACAAAGATGGCTCTGCAACTACCTAATCTCACCTGTTTACCCTTTTCCTTCATTTTAGGAAAGGGTCTTTAGTACCATTTCATTGTGTAAAATAATTTAATGACAATGTAATAATTATAACATCAATAACAATGGTAATAGTATCGATAGCAATGTTATTAATAAGAAAAACACATATTCCTGCCAATTTAAGGAATGGGGAAATCAGGATCGGTAATTATGGCCTACTGATAGACTCCTTGCCAGCCGAGCACATGTGGAGCCATCTGTATGTAAATAAATTCACCAAAAACTACAGGGGACAGAACATAAATCCGGGGCAGTTGGGTTAATACCAACAGTAGACACTGTCAAAAGGATGTTGAGGCGAGTGCGGTATCAGGCAGGTGTGTCTGATCTTCAGCCATTTCTGATAACATTAAGTAGAGGCCTTCCTTTGTCATGAAGATGAAACGATGATCTTCGCAGTAGACTCTGATTTGAAATTTCTTGTTGATAATAATAGAACTTGGAATTATTTTCTTCTAAGAAGAGAGATGAATACAAATAACTTAAGAGATCAGAATTACATTTTGTTCTTCATATGGTACAAATGGCCAAATCAAACTTTCATAAAATTTACTGTTTTATTCCTTTGTAACCAATAAATCAGGCTAACTCCAATGCATCATTTGTCTTTGTTAATTGTTCTATTTATAAATCTTGTACTCTTAACATTGAGAGTAAATGATGGTCTCAGTATGTCTAATGATGTTATTTCATGTTATCACAGAGCAGTGCTGGAAGCTCTAGTAGCAAAATAGCTGACTTTAAGGCTCGCTTAGCAAAGCTGCACACAAAGAGGGTAAGTCAGATGTGACTTTTTGTTAGCCTTGTGATTTCTTTTCATGTAAGGATTGTAGAGATTACGATTGTTTTTTGATATTTGATATTATATAAGATGGTGTTATATTGTTTAGTTTTCCTTTACTTTTTTTTTTGTAAAGGGACAATTTTGTTTATTTATTATTATTATTATTTTATAAATTTTATTTCCTTATTTATGTTTTAGATATAATCATTGAAATGTGTTACCATTATGAAAATACTTTTATATTTTATTAAATGTATATTCGAACCTGGTAACAAAACTGCCAGGCATATCCAACAATAGAAAATGCATCTTCGAATACAAAATATTTTGGACATGATCAAGAGAGGTTTCAAGAATATGGATTAGCCATTCTCTGTACCTCTTGGTATTACAAGACAATAATGATAATTAAAAGAAAAATATCAATGATATTGAAGAATCCTTGATAATAGAATTGGCGATGATAAGAATAGTAACATATTAACAAAGTTAATATTGATTGTTATTATCCTGATAATAGGACTAATTATTATTATGTTTCCTATAACCTGTTATTATGTCAATAGTAACTGTAACTACTATGGCAAAAATAACTAAGAACGTGGTAATGATAATATATATTATTACAACAGTGTAAAGAAAATAATAATGATGATAGCAATAATGGTAATAGTAATAGTAATAGTGATAAGGGTAGTAATAGTGATAAGGGTAGTAATAATAATAATGATGATAATAGTAATTATGATTATAATTATAATGATAATGATTACAATAATAATAGTTGCAATAATAATTATGCTGCTGATAATGATAATGGTATGATTTTGATGATGATATTACTAATGATAATAACAACAAGAACAATAATAAAGATGATAATGATAATGATGATAATAATAATGTAAATGATGATGATGATAATGATGATAATAATAATAAAAATAATAATGATAATGATAATAATGATAATGATAATAATGATAATGGTAATGATAATAATAATGATGATAATAATAATGATGATAATAATACTGCTAATAATAAGGATAATAATAATAGAAGTGATAATAATGATAATAATAATAATAATAATAATGATAATGATGATGATAATAATAATAATAATAATGATAATAATAATGACAATAATAATAATAATGATAATGATAATATTATCATTATTATTATTATTATCATTATCATTATCATTATCATTATCATTATCATTATCATTATCATGATGATGATAATAACAACAACAATAACAATAATAACAATAATAATAATGAAAGTAATAAAGATTATAATAATAATAATAATAATAATAATAATAATAATAATAATAACATTAACAATAATAACAATAATAATAATAATGAAAGTAATAAAGATTATAATAATAGCAATTATACAATAATTATTATACCATTTAGTTATATTCCATTTGTTACAATGGTTACACTTGCAACAAGCTGTCTTTTTCATTTTGCTTCTAAATTACCCCCTGTGTGCAAGGAATGGTTGGGGTTAACATCCACTGGCAGTGTATGGGAATTGAATGTAGGTCAGCAAGATTGCTGGACAAGACCACTACCATTGCACCACACAGTAATAAAATTGATATTTATACATTATGTATTGTACTGATAGGTTTCTAATGACAGTCAGGGACAGAGTATGAGAAATGTATAGTATCTAAAACTGTACTTGATTTTATTTCTTCAGTCACTCATAAAGCATTATTTTAATATTTGAATAAAGAATGATATATATCATAATACTTAGTATTACTTCACTTAATAAAGTACCGAGAAATAAAATAAAAATATAGCAACAGAATATTATATATAGGAAAATACAAAGAATCCTCTTTTGGGAAGCCTGTTTACCATAGGAAATTACCTTGGAGATGCTAGGTGCCATAACTTCAATTGCTTCTGACTCATGTATTAACCCATTCGCCACACGTGGCAAGAATAGATGCCATACCCACTTTGATACATGCTTATTTATTGTATTTACACATAGATGGCTCTACAAGTTATTAATCACCAATTAGCCAGTTATCACCTATTTCACCTGTTTACCCTTTTCCTTCACTTTAGGAAAGGGTTTTTTATATCATTTCATTATCAAAAATATTCTAATGACAGTTCAATAATCATAACGTCAATAACAATAATAAGAGTAACGAAAGCAATGGTATTAATTTTCCCGCCAGTTCAATGAATGTGAAAATCAGGGTCGGTAACTAGGGCCTAGTGATAGACTCCTTGCCGGCTGAGCACATGTGGAGCCATCTGTATATAACAAAATTCACCAAAAACTACTGGGGACAAAACAAATCCGTGGGTTAACAATCAATGTGGATAGTATATTATTGATGATCTAATTTTTTCTTTATTATCAGAATGAGGCTGCAGCTCTGAACCACAAAGAAGTTGTTGAAGAAGATCGTCAGAAACAGATGCCCAAAAACTATGCAAAGAAGAGAGAACGGTTAGAAGCAGAATTTGAAGAGGAACAGCGTAGAGAAGCTGTTATGGCACAGGTAAAGAATACTGACCTTTTTTCTGATTTTTTAATTGTTGGTCATTGAGTTTTTCATACTGAAAATGTACTATTTATTTTATGCAAATTTTTAATATTAACCCATTTGCGACGGGGAAAATGAACAAAAAATTGGGAAAATGCTTTGCTCATGTTTTATATTTTTTGTGAAATACCTCTACACATAGAATGACGTGTACGTGTATGCCATGCCCACTGTGAGTACTTGTTTGATTGTTTTTACACAGATGGCTACAATTGTACTAAGTCACCAATGAGGCAATTACGAATGCTGCCTGTCTCGCCTGTTTACCCTTTTCTTTTATTTATGAAAATATTTTACGTTATCTTATTTTGCTGTTACAAATGTTTATAACATTAAAGTAATTGTAAAGTTTATAATAGAAATAACAACCATCGATATTCATAGGCACTAGTAAAAAATGCATTTTCCCGCCAATTCAAATTGTTTAAGGGCATAAGGTCTATTAATTGAGTTCTTTTTGGCTAAGCACGAACAGAGCCATCTATGTGCAGAGACATCCCCCAAAAGGATATAAAAAATGAGCACAATATTTTTCCCATTTTTTATTAATTTTCCCCAGCGGGAAAATTCAATATATATATATATATATATATATATATATATATATATATATATATATATATATATATATATATATATATATATATATTATATATATATACACATATGTATATATATATATATATACATATGTATATATATATATATATATATATATATATATATATATATGTATATATATATATATATATATATATATATATATATATATATATATATATATATACATATATATATATATATATATACAGATAGTCCCCTACTTAAGAACATTCTACTTACGCACATTCCATACATACAAACTTTTTTTTAAATACTTAAGTCAAAAAAATTATTCGAAAGATGCTAGCAAACTTCAAATTCCTCGGGCACGAATATAGTTGACGAGTCTGCCACGCCGTGGCGCCACCGCGCTCACTCAGCTGTGCCATCACTCGACTGCTCTCCCGCCATAAACACGAAAGCATCTCTTCACTGTGTCCTTGTGTACCGACATTTTTTGTGCCATAATTCGCTTTACCTGTGCATCCATCAAAAATGTCTGGTGTGAAGAGAAAGATAAACGGTGAAACCAGTGGAAGTGCCAAGAAACATCAGGCTATAACTTTAACGATCTTATCAATCGGTTCGCCAGCCAGTCACCACTACAATATATTTTCTTTTTGAATAAAAAAAATAAACCATCAAATAATATTAAAAGCATTACATATTACAGGTACTGTATAAGGTATGACGTACTTATTCGGATTTATGTACAGTCTTCC